GTTCGCTTATTTCTGGCGAGCACTATTTTCCGACGTAGCACCCTCAGTAGGCGGACTTGGCGCCCACCAGCCTCGAACCAGCTATGGACGCAAATCGATCACATTGCGATAAGTTACCGATGGAGAGCCTGCGTCCAAAACTGTCGCTCGATTTGGAGCACAGGTGTTGACACCGACCATGCAATTGTATGTGCTGACAAGCGGATGCGCTTTGGCGGACGCCCGCGACGACGTTGTGAGCGAATTGACACCGGCAGATTAGCGACGTCAGCTGTTCTGAATGCCTATCAAATTACGCTGTCATCCGAATTGGATAAACGCTCACTGGATGCAATTGAGGATCACTGGTCTTAAATTCAGCAGGCCTTATAGCAGCAGGAAAATCCTCATGTGGTATGTCTAATCACCAACATGGACATTGGGTCTCTTCACAGTCTCTGGAACTTATAGATGCTCGCCGGCATGTTCCAGCTGAAAGCGAACAAAATGAAACTCGCCAAGAGCTCCGGGCAAAACTCCGTGCTAGCCTGAAGAGAGACCGAGAATCCTGGTGGTCAAATCGTGCAACTGAGATGGAAATGGTCGCTGCCCTTGGTAACCATCGTGAGTTATTGCGTCTGATACTGGAACCGGGCAGCAGGAGACCTGGCGCTAGTGAAACAATTTGCGATGCGAGTGGACAGCCTATCCACAATTAGTCAAAACGCTTGGAGCGTTGGGCTGAGCAATTTGAAAGGCAATTTAATCGGTCGGAATTGTTATATTTCTTGCCAACCAGTGATCGCCCTGCTCCGTGCGCTCTTCCTTTGGATCCACCCACCCGCTCAGAAGTCGAAAGTGAGTTCAAACTGTTGAAGTATATAAAGCCGCGGGACAAGCTTATCTTCCTTCAGCCCTCCTCAAATTCGTAGGACCTGCTCTTGTGGATGATTTACACGAGTTACTAGTCAAACTGTGGGAGCAGGAAACTGTCTCAACCGATTGGAGCCGCTCCGTCATAGTCCCAATTTTCAAAGGAGGCTCATGATCGGAATGCGGCAGCCATAGAGGAATCAGTCTGATATCCATCGCCTCCAAACTGCTTGCCTCTGTCTTCCTTCACAGATTGACTGGCACTCGTAAAAAGCCAGATTCGTGAAGAACAAGCTGGATTTCGTTGAGGTGGTGGCTACATTGACCACATCTTAACCTTGCGTCATTTGTTGGAGCACCGTCGCATATATTGGCGGACCACCGTTGTCGTGTTCCTCGATATCAAAGGTGCATTCGATTCCGTGGATAGACATGCATTTGGGACTGTCTACGCAGGAGTGGTGTACCTGAGAAATATGTGAATATTATCCGAGCGTTCCATGCGCGTAGCTCAGAGAGAGTGAAGGCTTACGGCAAGTTGTCGTCGCTCTTTAATATCTCCAACGGCGTGAGACAAGGATGCCCGCTATCCCCTTTCCTCTTCAACCTCGCTTTTGACGAAGTCATGAAAATCGCGTTCGCACAACACGAATACGAAGGTGTGGAGCTACTCCCAGGAGAACGACTTCTTGACTTAGAGTATGCTGATGATATTTCCCTGATCTATGACGGCTCACAGACGTGCCAAGCGGCACTGGACGGATTAGCACTAGCTGTCCGTCACTTCGGGCTTTGCTTCGCACCATCGAAATGCAAAGCGTTCCTCCAAGATTGGTCTGGAACGCCCCCTACGCTGACCCTTGGTGGGGATCAGTTAGAAGTCGTTCAAAAATTCAACTACCTGGGAAGTTGTATCAGCGCCGGTGTGATTGAAGATGAGATCACGAATCGTATAGCAAAAGCTCGGGACGCTTTCGCTAACCTTCGCCACGTGTGGCGCCGGCGCGACATCACTCTTGCTTTGAAGGGTAGAGTGTACAATGCAGCAGTACGTTCGACCCTACTGTACGGTTGTGAAACCTGACCGCTTAAGGCAGCGGGCCTCAAGAGGCTAGTTACGTTCGACCACCGGTGCCTCCGCAATTTAGCTCACATCTGGTGGGAACACCGCGTGAGCAGCGAGCGTGTTCGACGCCTTGTTTACGGCACAGGAAAAGGAACTGAACCGCTCAGCACCGTTATTTCGCGCATCAGGCTCCGATGGCTCAGCCACCTAGTAGGCATGCCAGCCCACCGACTTCCGCGACGTGTGTTGTTTGCGCGCCGGAGGTGTGGATGGAAGAAGAGGAGGGGTGGCCAAGCGATGACTTGGTCGAGAGGAATGAAGGCCCTCACTTCTGAGCTGGCCTCCGTTGGAGCGTCTCGGCTCCCTGGTTGGGGTCGGAAACCGATGAACACGTTTGGTTGGAAATACTTGCTGATATGGCTAGGAGCCGACCTCAGTGGCGTTCGTGCTGTGACTTTCTTTGTCCCACCCCATCCTTCTTAGCCTCCGTTTCCAACCACGATCTCATCTTTAACCTTATGTAATTTTGCACAGTAATTTTTTTGGGTGCACAGCAGCCGGCTGGTAGCTTACCGGAACGAT